AAATTTTTTTTTTCCCCCCTTTTTTTTTTTTTTAAAACCAAAAAATAAATTTTTTTTTTTTTTTTTTTTTTTTTGTCTTTAAAATCTTAGAGAGCAATTTCAAAATTTCTGAGTTTTTTCTAGAAAAGTTTTGACTTTTGGAACTCAAGAAATTTTCTTTTTTTTTTTTTTCTAGAAAATTTCTGGGATTAATTTAAAAAGTTTTTTGGTGGAAATTAACTTTTTATTTATTGCCACCGCAAATACGGTAAAAGGAAAATTAAAAACAACATTTTTATTTAAAAACTAAATGTAACTTTGTGCTCCTCCTTTTTGGATTCGTCCTCCTTTTTCTCCTGGCTGTGGGTTTTGTTTTTCGTGCACGCACTTGTTCAGGTGTGGATGATTCAGCATTTTGCTCACAGCACAGCAGCTCGTTTAGCAGGAGAGGAAACTGCTGTTAAACACTGAATTTGAATCAGAGTCTGACAACATTGACACTCTGCTGCTGCTGCTGCATGTTGCAGGTGAGGACAAAAACGGTGTCCCAGTGCGTGGAGTTTTACTACCTGACCAAAAAGCTGGTGGACAAACAGAAGAAACAAAAAGAGGAGGAGATCAGAGAGGCACAGGAGGAGCTGCAGAAATGCGTAAGAAAAAAACTATTGTAAAAATGCTTTTGCCTCGAGCATTCAGAAACTTGAAACCTCTGGACTGTCGTCTTGCATAATGAGTGAAGTGCTTTATGATTCTGCAACGTAGTGAGTCAGTCCGAGCTTTCCAGCTCATAGGTTGTTGTGTGTCACAGATGACGCCCATCTCCCAGCCACTGGAGAGGCCGTTTGCTCTGGAAGAGGCGGTTCCTGTTCCTTCACTGGCCAGCTTCTTCCCCTGCAAGCTGTGTGGCAAGTGAGTAGCACCAGCTTTGTTACACAGCAAAAAGCCAAATCTTACCACAGATTTTTGTCTAGTTTCCAGTACACTTGAAAAACAACAAAGCTAACTTACAAGTAACTTTTTTTTTTTACCAAGATGTAAGCGGTTGTTTTAAGTTAATAATTCTTTAATATTGATGAAAAGATATTAGTTCCACTAGTTTAACTTATAACATCAGAAGAACTAGTACTTTTTAAAATGAATATTAGGAAATGATTTACTTAAAATTGACTTATTGTTCTTCCATGAACAGATTACGATATACAAAACATCTTCATTATATTTTTTGCACAAAATCATTCTTAGATAATAAGATTTTAGTCTGGTCAATTCTATTTTGAACTGTTTTAGATTATCCTGTAGCTTTAAATCCAGTTAAACCAAAGGGTTAGAACTCTGCTGGGGTTGCTAGGTAACGGGCTGGAACTTTGCTGGGGTTGCTAGGTAACGGGCTGGAACTCTGCTGGGGTTGCTAGGTAACGGGCTAGAACTCTGCTGGGGTTGCTAGGTAACGGGCTGGGCTTCTCTGGGGTTACTGGGTGAGGGGCAGTGCCTGCTGATATGTGAGATTATATTCAGAAGGTTTCTGAAACGGGTCATTTTCCAGACACCAATGAACATAAAATTTTAACCAAAAACTGGTTATGTTTTTCTTTTTTAATTGCTTAGGCTGTTTTTAGAAGCAGTTGAGACCCAGATGAAAGTACAAGATGATAGTTTCCTTTTAAATAACTCCTATTTTTTGCTGAAAAGTTATTTGTATGTTAGTTTTGTCTTATTTCAAGCATACTCAAAACTGGCCAGATATACCTGGTCAGATATTTTGTTTTTGCAGTGTAAAAGAAGCTGCCAGTACAAAACCCCTGCTTTTGCCTTCAGGGCGAGCCCAGCACATGGTTTAGATTTATTTTAAATCTTCCGTGTCCTCTCTTTTCTCCAGAATGTTCTATAAAATCAAATCCAGGAACGCTCACATGAAGATCCACCGGCAGCCTCAGGAGGACTGGACCGACAGGCGGCTGCAGCACCAGCTCCTCACACAGCGTCTCGCCCTCAGCCGCCCCGCCAGCCTCGTGCCCAGCCCAGGAAGTAGCCTGCTCCCACCCCAGGCCTCTCCAGCCATGGCGTTTTCCACCCAGGCCCTCGCCGCAAACGGCAGCGGCAACCCTGACGGCGTCCACAGCGTCATGACCAACAGCGGCGCCGTCAATCCCAACCAGCTCCTGGATCCCTGCTCAGGTGTGACTTTTAGCAACATCACTCCTACAAACTCCCATCTGATCGCCATGAACAGTATCGACGCGTGCGATTCGAGCCGAAAAGACCCGAGCGCAGCTTTCCACCAGCCGTGGAGCTCTTTTGGACTCCTTCTTCCAGACATGTCTTCTTTTTATTGCCTCCCAGACGGGAAGGAGGAGGTGGGAGCCGGGCCGGTGGAGGGGAAGGAGGCGATCAGCTGGCAGTAGCATTACCACCAATACTCTGATTATCTGTCAATCTTAGTGCTTAATTCAAACTCATTTTTTATTCAAAACTTTTCTTGTACTTAAAACAAACAAAAACATTTTAATAACTAAATGTTGGGATTTTGTTGTAAATTTTGTCCTCAGATTTTTTACATATTTAAGTCATTGTCATTCATCTGAGATTTTAATAAAAATGTGACCTCGTTGTTTCTCATCTTACGTTGTTTTGGCTCATTTATGTCGACGGGCTGTGAAACAATAGCAGGGATTCGAATGAATGAACAATGTTTTCAGTGTTCATGCAACCACATAATGGGCCAATATTGACACACAGTTTCATTTCTAACTGGAACCAAAGCGCCCAGAACCATCAGCCTGTTGATGGTTAACTTCTCTTATTGTGCAAACATGATTCATTTGGATGTTGCAGCATAAAACCTGGTCTTATTATTGTTGCGCAAAAAACATTTCCTTCTCCTGGATTACCGGGTGCACGTTTCTGTTGTGTTGCAAGACAGCGCTGTGCCCTTTGACCTCATCTTTCTAAGGGCTACATCTGAGATAGTGATAGCTGTGTTTGCATAGATTCATGATCTGTGCACAGATTTGCATGTATGCAGATAAAAGTAGTCCCTGGACAAAAGTCCAACATAGTTTGTCTGCCCTCCTTCCATTCAGTTTCTAACAGTGCAGTGAACACTGCAAAAACACAGAATCTTACCAAGTAGTTTTACTCTTATTTCTACTGCAAATATCTTAAGATATTTAAATAAGGTTAAACTTATATATAGGATCTTGTTTTAAGTTCATAAGTCCTAATAAGTACTAATTCATTGTTGGATTATTTCACTTATAACAAGGGAAAAAATGACTTGGTATAAGTTAATTCATCTTCCAATGGAGCTAGTGCTTTTTCATCAATATTAAGGAATTAAAAGAAGCTCATATTTCTTACTGAAAAGATACTTGTAAGTTAATTTTGTCTTATTTCAAGTGCACTAGAAACTAGACAAACATACTTGGTAAGATTTAGTTGTTGTTTTTTTGCAGTGTTCAGAGAACGAATCAAGTGCTGCTGCTTTTATTCTGCAGCTAAATCCTGTGTGCACTTAATCATAAATGCCGATTTTGTATTAAAATGAAGCAATCTCTCTTGTTGTGAACACAAAAGCAGGAGGAAACTTAGTGAAACAGCAGCAACAGAGTTCAGTGTTGGCCTTTTCCGACAGACAGAGGGGGGTTGCACTTAGCAGACGAGTGGGAATCCAAAGAGAGAACGAGCTGAGAGGTTACTGAGCAGTTGGCATTCACCTTTTCAAAGGGAGCAACTCTTTGCCAACTGACTGAGCATGTGCCCCAAAAGCCCAATCCCAGGGTCTCCCTTGTGTTGCTCTCCCCTTTTTTCCCAGAACAGGGTGGTGACGGTGAATAAAGCCTGCTTGCATAATTGGGTTACTGTTGTGACATGCATGAAGATGGAGCTTCATGGTGGATCTGTGTGCTTTAAAAGGGTCTGAAACAAAAACATGAGATACTTTTAAGAGAAAATGAAACATTGTTGGACTTGTTATGCAAAGAAAATATATTTCTGCACCTTTAAATATGCAAAGTTCAAATGTTACACTTAATTTTAAAGCTGCAGTTTGTAACTTTTACCAAAAAGACTGCAGCACAGCAGGAGCAAGAGGAAAGAAATCATTAAGAACCTAAAATAAGAGAATCCTCAAATATGATCTCTAAGTTTAACATTGCAACAGGCTGAGAAACATTCAGCCAACAATCAGAGCTTTTAGAGAAAAACTGAAAAGGCTTCTGCAGCCTCAGCTGTTCACAGACCAAACAGGAGCATGTGGGGTTAGTGGGCCGCTGCCCTGCGGAGCGACTCTGAACGTTTGCTTTTCTTGTTTGTCTGCTGACCCTGTGATGGACTGGTGACCTGTCCACTGTGTACGTAATCTCTCACAAGTTACCACCATGACGGATTAATGGTCAGATAGGTACATGAACAGCCTTTGTGCGTGCTATCAAGTTTGATAATAACGTAAATAGGATGAATGAAAGTTGTTCAGGTTGATTTATGGAGAAACTTATGAGAAAGATTTAAAAACTACACTTTAAATTGATTTTTTTTTTTTTAGCTTTATGACATGTCAAAAACATGCCTGAAGTGTTGCTTTGAGTCTTTGCATGTTTGAGAAATCCTTTAATCTCCATGGCAACCATTCAGGGTGGAAACAAGCTCCTCCTTTGAGCTTCAATCTTCGCAGCACTCGGCTCCTTCAGACTAGTGGCAGCAGCAATTAGCAAACACCTGGTGGAACGCTGCATCTGCTGAGCTCATCATATGAACTACATTTCAGGCTAATGCTGAATGTAGTTCATTCTGAAAGAGCCGGAGCTTCTTGTTAGTTGTAAACGGAGAGACATTGTTGTGATGACCTGCTGAAGTCGGAGAGTCTGAAAGAGCAGGACCTTCTTAAAGAGACAGAGCCTAATTTCAAAGAGTCAAACTGAGATGTCAAATTTCTTTAAAATTATGTTTAATTTTGACATCATTTTTATAACGACTCAGAGTAACATAGTGACTTGATTGTTTTAAAATAGCAGTATGTGCTTGGAGAATAAATAATACGTGCCCCCTTTGACAGGGGGCACGTTCTACGTTTATTTCCGTCTGTGTTGAAACTCTGGCTAAGATGAAAGTGTCCTCCTATCAGTGGCGCATACACTCCTATCTAAGGCTGATAAGAGAACAAACAGGAGTTGAGAAGCAATCATTCTTGTGTTGATTTGTTTAGACACTGTGTAACACGCTGGCCGTACCAATCAGAGAGATTTATCTTTGACCAAACATTTTAATTTTTTTTATCCAGCCTGTTCCTGGTTTCCCTCCTCTCTCAGTTGTTCAACAAACACCAGACAGTAACGATGGTAATCTCATTTCAGCATGAATCAGTATAGAGCTGCAATAAATGCAGCTGGTTCACATGATTTTGGAGATAAAGGTAGTAGTCCTTTGTCCACTTTCAAAGGCAGCAGCACAAAGGATCAGTTTAAACTCCTGTAATCAAATCTCCTTTTCAGCTGGTTCATGATCCTGAGATGCTCTCATCTTTCACACAAGGCCAACCTTTTCACAAAGCTTACAAGAGCTCGTCTTTACATTAATCACTGAGAAAAAAGGAAAAGCAAAGGCGAGGGAAAACAATAAGTTTGGTATAAATAGATTTTGCACCATTTAAGTTACTTCACATTTTGTCACGTTTAAACAAACAGCAAACTTCATATTAAGTTATTGGAACCTTATACGAAAACACCGACACAAAGTAGTTCCTGAGAGAAAGTAAAAGAAAAAATAGTTTTAATAAAGAACAATTTCAAAATGTGGCATGCATTTTTATTAATTCAGATTATACATATACATTTCTTCTATCCTATAGAAACCTCCCTAATCCTATTGAGTTTGATGGTTTTTTTAAGATTAATTAATGATGTGCTTCATTCAGCACAGGAGCATAAAATATAAATCTATAAAAATATAAATTTATAAATCATGAAATAATTACCGTTTCTACTTTTTAATATAAAATCAGTACATTTAATTGAGGTACATAATTAATTCTGTTTAATAAATTCTTTCTTCATTTTTAAAAATTGACACTTAAATATAACTGTACTATAATAATTATTCACAAGTAATTTGTTTATTGTAGTTTAGCTCACTTCACTCTCCAGAAGCCACAAATTAAATAAACATACAGCTAAATAATTATATATATTTCTAAATAAAAGTTTTCCTTAAAATTTCATTTTCTTATTTAAATTTATTATTTAATAGGTAGATGTAATTTATTTATTTAATTATATATTTAATTATTTAGTGATAAAATTTATTATTTAATTATGTTTTTATTATATATTTAATTAATAATGGAAGATTTACATATATTATTTCATACCTTATTCATTCATTTTAATGTTATAAATCACGTGACCAACGTGATGTTGGAACGTTTAGTGCTTTTTAAACTCACCGCGTGCTACTCCTGCCTCCCCTGTGATTGGCTGAGAGCAGGAGCGAGGGGGCGTGGCCTAGTTGCCTCACGCCAAACGGAGAGAGCGATGAAAGCTTAGGAAGAGAGGGAGAGAGATTAAATAGAAGGCAGGCGCAGCAGCAGACTGCTATATCCGCCAGAAGGAGACCGAGGATACCAGCTGCTAGCTACGTTAGCCGCAGTAGACAGTTAGCACCTAGCTCCAAGAGTACTAGCTCCTTTACTAACACATGAGGGAGTGAGCCAGCAGGGTCAGAGTGACAGTGTGAGAGCCGGAGCTCTGAGCGCCCGCTCGGCCGTTCCGAACTGACTCCTTCTGCTTGCGTGAAGCTGCGTGAGCGCCACAGCGGGAGAGAGACAGAGAGAGTTTGTGTACATTCAAGCCCACATATCTCGCTCTTCTTGTAAAGCAGCGTGTCTGTGAAGGTGTGTGAGGTGGAGCTCATTAGCAATAGAGGAAGTGGACCCATAAACACTGCCTGACTGTCGGCTGTTTACAATCGGTGTCCGGTTACTTCTCTCCACGTCTCCTACCGATAACCGACTAATCGGCGGCAGCATGTGAGTACCTGCGGGAGATTGTGTGCGTTTATGAATGAGTTTTGAGCGTGTGGCTGGATTGCATTCAGCTCCAGGACCAAGCATTGGTCCAAAAGGCTAACTGACCTGCATGTGTCTGAGCTGTCAGCGTGATAGCAGCACATGTAACCGCACAGCTGTTACTCTGCAACTTCTAGGTTTTCCTGCAACTCAGAAGCATGGCTTAAAGTGTCACCAGGCCTATTTAAAACTACAATGACAATTTTATTTTACATTGATTAACTAAAACAATTAATTAATCAGTGATTAGATTAAGCAGGTGGTTAAATTGTTGGTTTTGCAGTTAACTTAAAAATACTTTATTTATCCAAAAGGGAAATTAAATGTTGTAATAAGTCACAGGCTTGTCACAATAACGAATTTTGCTGGAAGAAAAATTGTCCCAGAAGTTGTTGCGATAACAATATTGATGTTTTTGTTTTGTAATATAATGGTAATGACATAATAATGCAAGTTTACCCTGTCAAAGGTCAATAAACTTTAAATTCTAATGAACGTTTTACACTAGAACTTACAAAGTTTACAAAGTAAATAAAACAGCAGAAATGGCAAATAAAATTGAATTGTGAAGTTTATGTAAACAAATTGTTCTTAAAAAGAAAGCCCTCTTTGTAAGAGCAATTAATCGCGATTAATTAATTAACTCATCCAAGAATCTTCAAAGGAGTCCTTGTGGATGGTGTGGCCAGGAAGCGTCTCCTGTAGCAGTCAGTCTCACTACACATCTGAAGAAGCCTCTGACTGAAGACTGTTTCTGTTTCTGCCACATGACTGTCATGAGACAGAAACTCTAAATCCAGGTAGCAGAGATGATATTCCACAGTAATGACACAATCAGTTACTGACAAGCACTGCTAATCCACATCATTTGCTTTTGCCACTGGTCTTTAAGTCTCTATCTGGCTGCATGGTTAGAAAGTCACACAGAGTCAGGGTTGGTGTGAACTTCCTCCCCCTCTCTCTGCTCTTTGGTCCTGCTCTGCATCCATAAGGCCTCATTTTTCAACAATTTGTGGTCGTAGTTCAAGTATTATTTGAGCTTTTGAGATGCTAATCAGCACCTAATAACGTTGGATCATTGTTTTTTTTTATTTCCTTTCTTATGTTTATACTTTATATCTATATGCTATTCAGTTTTGACCAATAAAGCTTTCCACTTCTGATAAAGTGGAAAGAAAGTTTTTTTTATAATTATCTGGTCTGTATGATTTTTTCATGTACAGATCTGAAAAGTGTGGGGTGCATTTGCAGAGCCACTTATCACTGTGATTACATCTGCAAGTCTTTTTTGGACTGAATGATAATTATTTGTAAGATATGTTAAATTTTCCTACAGCTTCTCAACTATTACCTACTTTGTCCCAATAAAATGCATCAAATATTGTCATTGTAACATGATAAAAAGTGAAAAAAAGGTTAAAAGATCATGAATACTTTTACTGCGGACTACAAAACATTTGAAACAACAAGACTTGTGACAGTAACTTTAGCACAGAATCTTGAAAGATGCTGTTCTGTCACCTTAATCAGGCTGCAAATGTTTGAAAATCTTCAAATGTGACTGAATTAAAACAAAATCAATCAGCGCTGATCAATCAGACTTACTGCCAGATATTGCAGAAGCGCATTGGTGCAATAAAAGGCACAACCAGTCACCAGGTTTTTAGGCCCAGTATAAGGTTGGACAAGAACTGCATTTCATCTTTCTGTCATGAGGAGAGGTAGGAAAATCTTCAAAGCTTACTGTTAGAAAAACAAAAATGGCGTCATGGGATCGCCAAGTTCCCAAAACCATTTGGGAACTGCTGAATCCGATGTGAAACGTAGCGCAACTCGTACGTTAAGTACGGTGGAGGAAAGGTGATGCTGCGGTCCTGTTTTTCTTCCACAGGGTTTAATATGTGAGATTATGAACTCTTTGAAATGCTGTAACATTTTAAATAAACATCAGGTGGACTGTACAAGAAGTAAAAATGCAGGCGGTGGGGGGTTCTTGCATGAATCCCTCCTTCTCCTAACCAATCAAAATACAGGAAGTTTTCTACATTCTGGCAGATGTCAAGTTGTAGTGTAATTATTGCAAATAAAAGCAACAAAAAAACGTTATTGAAAACACATCTGAGAGAAAAGTATACTTTCTTATCTGGTGGCTCAAGGGTCTAACCGCCCCACTCCCCACCCTTTTTAGTACCGCCCTGGGCAACTGCCCATGTGGCCCATATCAGAAATGACCACTGATTGTCTGCAACGTCTGGGAGAAACTCTGAACATTTTACTACATGTAGTCAATCATGTGAGGATTCACACAATGGAGAAAAACAATCTTGGTGATCAAATGTCATCAAACGTCTTCATGTTGATCGAAGTGAAACTTTGAATCATTTAAATTCCAGTTCTGATACTTAAATTTAAAAAAATAAGAAACAATTTACGAATATTCCAAATATGTTGTGATTTACATCTGTTAAATTTCTGTCTGATATTAAAAAACTAAAACATTTTATATATATATATATATATATATATATATATAAAATAAACCTATCAAAGCAAATAAGTGAAATGATTAGATATGAGCCGTTGTGTAGATGTTTGTAAATACGTAATAAGTCTGTAAATCATGTCAACAGCCTAATTATCAATAGTTTCTGAGCCGAAATCAAAACATGCAAAGCCATCAGGGTGTAGTGATGCTTTGCAAAGCTGAAAGTGAGTCAAAATTTAATAATGCTATCTGTCTTTGGTTAAACTATGTAACATAAATCAAATATATGTTTTGATCTGAATAAAAACCTGACAATCAAAAGCATAAAACTGGTTAATTTTATGCACAATCCAGTGAAAAACATTCAAAATTTGAATATTCATCTATCACTCCAAACAAAATAAATTCCACAGGTTGTAAAGAAAAACGTCTCAGTTTTCATGTTGAAACCTGCATAAGATGCTTATTATCCATGTAGGCCACACATTAGCTTCAGTTTCCTTTCCCAGATTTAGATGGCCACTCATGTTCAGATTGTTTTATTTACAAACCTTTGTGTTTGTTTAAGGGTCCTCAGAACATTAACACCACAAACATTGCAATAAAATCATGAAAAACATACTAAAACCCCTTAAGACACAAACTAGATCAAAACACATATTCAATTCAACTGCCTCAACAACTCTAATATTTTACAAACAATAAAAAAACGGCATCACAATTTACGTCAAAACACACAAACAGAATTTACACAAAATTTCAGCAATTTCAAGGAAATATTGAAAACCATAATAATACTCTTCACTGTATCCTTCATGCTGTTGTGTCTGCATCATTCGGGTGTTTGCTCATCCTCAAGCAACCTTTACTCTGCAGCCAAACAGGAAAATATGCGCAACATCTGTCCCAGTGGAGCCGGGCGACTCTGATCAAACAGAACCTGCTGCACACAGGCCACGCTCTTTGCTTTTTATCACACTTACATGTTTTAGATCATTAAATCAATATTTATGTCAGACAAATAGGAGTTTGTTCCACTGCCGCACCCAGTCTGATGACTGCCTGACCTATGGATTCCACATGTCACTTCAGTGGGACCCGTCTGACAACATGAAGTAGGCTAAAAGATCTAAACATCATGACTTGATTTAAGAAAATTCAAGAACAGATGTAAAGCAAATTCCTTCACATCTATCTGTCCTTTATATCTATTCATAAGGAGTGGCTGGCTTACCAAAATTACTCTGAGTGTAATGTTGACTCATCCAGGAGGCCAACTAATAACGTAGAACAACATCCTAGATGCTTGTTTTGTAAACTTTAATTTCTTTGCTTGTTGCATCGTTTTGAAAAATATCATGTCTGGGTTTGGATGCAGCTGGGAGGATTTCTGTTCTAACATTTTTACTTTCTCATTACACATCACAACTGTAGTGATATGATGCGTAACCGTGACAACCGGGTGTTGTTTTTACACCTGGAAGGAGCTGACTAGCATCTCAGAACTCAAATGATATCTGACCTACGACCCCAGATCCCAGTGGAGTTGGAAAGGAGAATGCATGGAGGCAGAGTAAAGAGAGAAAGAGGAAGTTCAAATGATCTGAAGCGTCTGGATTTAAAGAGGAGCGGCAAAAGCAAACGAGGTGGATTAGCAGTGCTTACCAACAACTGATGGTGTCATCCAGGACATGTGAGATATCATCTCTGCTGCTCGGTTATTGAGGTGTAGATTTATTAGGGTCATAAAACTGTCTTACAGTAACAGTCTTCAGTCAGAGGGTTCTTCAGTTTGAATGCAAGACTGACTGCTATAGGAAATCCTTTCTGCCACAACAACAACATCCACGAAAACTCTTCAGAGAAACTTGGATGATATGAATAACAATATTTAATTTTCTTATGGGATAAATTTAATTAAACTTAAATTGAATTGAATCTATAATCTATATTCAAATATGTGTATAGTAGATAAATATCCTAATATATTATATAAATATATACATAGAATATCATATTCTTATTTGATCCCCAAGGGGAAATAGACAGCTTATTTGTCGACAAGTTACTCCACCCAAAGAGTTAAATATCTGTAAATACAAATATAACCATAAGCAACTTTAAATTTATGTACATGTTTGAAAATCCTCAAATGTGACTGAATTTAAAACAAAATCAATCAGCGCTGATCAATCAGACTCATTGCCAGATGTTGCAGAAGCGTGTTGGTGCAATAAAAGACACAACCAGTCACCAGGTTTTTAGGGAATTATTTTTTCACATAGGGCCAGGTTAGGTAGCTTTTTTCCCGTAATAAATGACATAATTTGAACTCTTCTTTTTGTGCGTGTACCCAGGTCATTTCAGTCAGCCTGATGTTGAATTTATTTGCTAATCTGAAACAGTTAATCTCACGCTAGAGCTGAAACAAATAAAATTGAAAATGGTACTTTTCCACAATATTCTGTAAGTGCCT